TTTAATTTTAATGAAAGCTGTATGCACAAAGTCTGTTAGGAATACACTCTTCTGGAAACAAAGTACTCACCACAGACTTGCACTCAATGAGAAGGTGCAACAGCATTATGAAGAGCGCTGCTGTGTTTATAGGGTTTCCAAAAGAAAAAATGTCTACGTCTGAGCCATGGTAAGTCTGTAAAGGAAGACAGCGGTCAGCATAATATATTCTTTACATACAGTCCTAATACACAAAGTGGTATGAATAGTTTCAATACCATACATATCTGCATGCACACAGCTCAGCTTAGTTCCAATGACGATCCTATTAGTACAAATTTATATATAAGGAAGTAAAATCAAACACTTCATTTTATTCTCTAATTTGCCTGTGTTTTTAGTGTGTTAAAATGTATAAATGTGTTTCATATGCAGCACTTACAAAGTAAGGCACAAAAAAGCAAACGAGACTTTGGTAAAAAGCATCCAGCAGGGTTATCCAGAAAGTTGAGGGCAAGTAAGCCTGTAGAAAAAAAGATAATGGCATTGAAATGAATTGAACAAATTGTGGCATCCTTAATTAACATTAATTTGGATTTGGGGAAAGATTACATGCAGAATTAATTCCAGTTCGTTTCCCGATGATGAGGCATCTTTTGTGTTATGATAACAAGAATAAAGAGCTCACCCCACACATGTAGCTAACTGTCAGTATTTAAATCAGCAGCCAGATCTGGGAACTCTGATCTTACAGCCGTTTCTGCCAGAACAGACCTACCAGAGCCTCACCTAACTGCGTACTAAGGAAAAGAGAGGGCTAGGGAACAGTGAATTACCCTAGCAGCTTACCATCACACTAACTCAATATCAAGTCCCACTTTCTTCTGCGTCCACCTGCTTCTTTTTGGTACGTGTGCTTCTACCTCTTAATTTGTGCTGGTTGACTCCTCTGTGCAGACTGGACTTCTCTGTGAGCTAACTTCACTCACAACGTGAGAAATCAATTCACTTTTCTGCTGGAGTAACACGTTGCTATTTTAGTGAGTTAAATCAGCTCAGGGAAGGATCTGATGGGACAACCAAGCTGGCCCACAGAAGGCAGTTTAACTATGTGAATGAAAACAGGGAGCGGGAAGAAAAGAAGGGAGAAGAGGAGAAGGAACAAGCCTTCCTCACTCAGTGGCAGCAAACTGCTGTGACAGCTCAATCACTTATGAAACCATAGCTGCATATGCCCTGGCTCAGATACATCCCATTCCTTCAGGCAATTCCTAATTGAGACACATAGGTGAGCAGTCTAGTCACCCAGGACTACCTCTACAATTAGTGGTGCGGGAAACTACTTCTTATTTGCCTGTCAGGAAGTGCTTTAAGTTACTGAAGATGAATCCAAGTTACTGTCCATTTTTATAGGTTGTACAGAGCTGTGCACTTGTGATGTCATGGTGCAATATTGTGATACTACGTCTTTTCAAGTGTTTCTCTTCTATACTGCACTTCATTCAAGGCAATTATTTCACTCTGCTTCCATGCAAGAAAGCAAATAATATACTACCTAACAACAACCAGCAAGGCAATGCTGTGCTGGACAAAAGAGAAACTCTGATAAAAGTTAAGGAAAAAAAAAAGTAAAGAGAAAAACTATTGTGTAATGCCATAATTCTGATTATGTTGCCTCAAAACCTTCATCTCAGCTCAGATCACTGTACATATCATGAAGATCAGAACAAAGGGCCAAATCCTGAGGCCTTGTAACATTTACTTAGTTAAAACTTTCTGTGATTGACAAAAAACAGACCTGATCCAGCGAGTCTACAGAGGCTCATATCAGTACCAAAGGAGTACATAGTTTTACAAAAATATCATAAACCAAGCAACAGAAAATATTTAAGGTTATGTAAAAAGACATGTTAAAGTCCACAAACAAGCAAAACAAATTCTTCCCTCAGCGTATATCCTTCTTTCCCTTCTAAACCAGACCTAGACTTCTGCCAGGTTATATGGATGAAACTGCACAACCAGAATGCAACACGTTGCAGCTCATTTTTTCAAAAAGTATTTGTTAAGATAGAACAGAACAGAATAGAACAGAATATTTCAGTTGGAAGGGACCAACAATGATCATCTAGTTCAACTGTCCGATTGCTTCAGGGCTGACCAAAAGTTAAAGCCTATTATTAGAGGCATTGTCCAAATGCCTCTTAAACACTAACAGGCTTTGGGCCTCGACCCCCTCTCTAGGACACCTGTTCCAGGGTCTGACCACCCTCTCTGCAAAGAAATGCTTCCTAATGTCAAGCCTGTTATTGAAAGGCTACAATCATAAAGAAAATGGTGAGGTTTAGGTGACTCATATGCTCCATGTTTTCTCTCTTTGGGCTACTAGTATTTGTTCTGTCTCAGGCTCAGTATGTCACTATATGTCAGTACGCCTTCAATTGTTATAATAAAAATATTATTTTAATTAAGTGTTAAATTAAAAAAAAGTTAAAATTATGTTAGAATCCATGCTAAGCAAAGCAGAAACCAGGAAGAAGCTAACCGGTTTATATAATTAATAATAATAATATAATCTCCTGCTCCCTGCAGTTTCTGTGCTAAACGTTTGGAGAATTTACTTATAGAGCAGGTATCACAGAATCACAGAATGTTAGGGATTGGAAGGGACCTCAAAGGATCATCTAGTCTAATCCTCCTGCCGGAGCAGGACCACCTAGATCAGATCACACAAGAACGCGTCCAGGAGGGTTTTGAACATCTCCAGAGAAGGAGACTCCACAACCTCTCTGGGAAGCCTGTTCCAGTGTTCTGTTACCCTTACTGGGAAGAACTTCTTCTTCATGTTTAAGCAGAACCTCCTATGTTCCAGCTTATATCAATTTCCCCTTGTCCTATCACTGGATGCCACTGAGAAGAGCCTGGCTCCATCCTCATGGCAGTCACCCTTTATATATTTATAAACATTAATGAGGTCCCCCCTCAGTCTCCTCTTCTCCAAGCTAAAGAGACCCAGCTCCCTCAGCCTTTCCTCATAAGGGAGATGTTCCACTCCCCTAATCATCTTTGTGGCCCTGCGCTGGACTCTGTCAAGCAGTTCCTTGTCCTTCTTGAACTGAGGGGCCCAGAACTGGACACAATATTCCAGATGCGGCCTCACCAGGGCAGAGTAGAGTGGCAGGAGAACCTCCCTCGACCTACTTTTCAGATGGGAGAAAAGTGCCAGCAGCAAACTCCAGAACATATCCAAAAGGGGAAAAGAACCCTGAATGACAGAATTTTCTTGAGGATTATTTGAAAGGAACCTGCTCTGGTTCTTACCCACTCCTTATTACTTTGGCAGCTGAGACCCTTAAATGACAGTGAAAAAAGCGTCTAGTGCCCTTATCTTTAAAAGTAAGCCCAGATGCTAAAAAGAAACCCATTTTGAGGAAGTACATTGACAGCTGAGGCAGTGAAGGAAGGGAACATGCTGGTAACGATATTTATCTAGTACATTGCTTCACCTGAAGTCCTTAATTTCTTTTATTATCCAAATGTCTGATAAGATTGGGTGTATGTCTGAAAAGAGCCTACAAAAAACTTTTGAAAAAACAGCTTTTATTTGTGCATATATTGCACAGGACTAGATGTTTTTCTAATAGAGAAAGTGGTTTTAAACTTCATGTTTACCTGATGTGAACCATGAAGGAAAGAAAGACAAAAATGGGTCAAATGCTAATCATTTCAATTTGCTTCAGGCCAAGCATTCTTTAACCTACCACAGATTTCTGGCTCATCATGTACAGCTGTGGGAGCTGCATAAGTATCTCCGCAGACACATCTTTGTCCAAGACACCATATATGATAGGTGGCATCGATGTAAAAAGGAGATTGAAAAGAATCAAGATCCAGTAGTCAGTCATTGATGTGCCTGAAAACCCACAGAAGAACTGGTACCAGAAGAGGAGGTTCACATAGGCCTGAAATGTCAAAGATTACATGATAAAAATGTTACTGCAGACAAGTGTTTTAAAAGAGGAAAACAGGCAGATTTTAGGTCTGGTTACAGTAATCTGTGGGAAATTAATTGTAAATGCTGTGGAGTTCATGCCAATCCCTCACTTTGAAATGATATTTGACTAGCACATAGCTTTATATTTCAAAACTGGACATGACTTGTTTACACAGTCATGCTGCCACCACATTAGCAATGCCCATTACCCACTGTTTAATCAAATCAGACAATGGCTTTGAGTGGGAAATTCGATCCAAGGAATAAGAGTCTCCGGTCTCTGCAGACATAAATGGGAAACCAAATTGTCTGACATACACTTTTTGTGTCTTTTTGAACCCATTCACAATAGAAACTAAACAAGAATATAAAGTCCCACTAAACCTTTCTGCACCCTCAAATATGCAAACTGTCATTTCCCCAGGATGGGACAGCTACATACCACATTCTTGTAGAAGAAGTAAAGCACCATGTTGGTAAGTCTGGTGTAACACCAGTGACCATGGACAAGCAGCAGCTTCCTGAGGTGTCTAAACTGAGAGATTGCAAAGTCACTTGCCATCACAGCCTGCAATGCACATGAAGGAAACGGTATGTTATATCCAAACTGTTTAAAGATAAGCTTCAGATACTGCCAAGCCAGCAACTTATCTACTGTTGGGAATTCTTATTTTATGACTTTTTTATATGTAGTGCTTACGGTCTTACCCTCACTCAGATTTGAGCTCCTCCAAACAACATTTTACAGGAACACAAACAGGTCAGCCCAACACAATACAGGCAAGACCATGCCCATCTTTATTATTACCACACAACTGCACAGAAATCACCGACACTTAGGCTGCTTGTTTCCTGGCAGAATATGAGTAATAGGGAGTTTGGTGACAGGCAGCAAGCTTTGTTGTTTGAAGTCTGAACCCCTTGCAGCATTCAGCTTCTGAGAGACTGCTGATGCCTGGGTGTGAGCTCAGGCTGCAAAATCTTGTCCGTGTATGGTAACGGACTGTGGAGCCACTACTCCTCGAGGATAAATTCTGAACCAATTTAAAATGGAATCCAATGTCATTTGCAGCTGTCTTTGTATACATCACCTGCATGCCTTCTTCGCCTGATATTCCCACACCAGTGTCAGCCACCTGGATCATACTGACATCATTGGCACCATCACCTACAGAGAAACAAAAAGAGGAAAAATCAAAACTAACCTCTCTTACTTGGAACGCAACCTGGAGGCAGCTTTGCTGGCTATCCCATCACAATGGAGGTGGCAGGAAAAGACAAATACACAAGAACACCAGAGAGTTCAGGAAAAAATGTTTTTATGGCCAATGGTGCAGCCTATGGAAAACCCTACAGAAAGTGGGATTAGTAAGTGGAAGGCCTGACTGAACTGAGCTATATTCTCCAAATGGATATTAGCTGTTCCCTTCATCAGAACTCAGTTGGTATGCTGGAACAGAAAGTACGGGTGTTTTAAATCAGAGCCAGTCATCTCCTGTCTCCCTCCCTATTCTGGGGGGTTGTGATGGAGAATGACAAAGAAAACCCCTCATTTGCTCCTCTGGACGTGTTACATAACACTGTGCACAACTGCTGCTGTTCTTGTTGCTTTAGATCACAATGAGAAAGTTTATGGGCTAAATTTGCTAGTTCAGAAGACTAACATCATCTTACGCCAGAGACAACTTCGATTCAAAGGATTATCTTCCTTGGAAAGTAAATTTTGTAACAGACATTAACGAAAATATAGGAGAGAAGAAACTCGCTTCCTCTGAAAAAAAGATAACCACAGGACTCACCTACAGCTAATGTCATTGCCTTTAGCTTATTTCGCACCAGTCTGACCAGGACACTCTTCTGCAGTGGTGTGGCTTGGCAGCAGACTACAGCCCGACATTTTTCTGTGAGTTCTAAGAAAATATTCTGTAAGCTGTCATGAAGGACGTGCTCTAAAGTTCTTCCATCAATAACCAGGCCTGCACTGAACCCTGGAGCTTGGGTGGAGAGATTTGCAGAGACATTCTCAAGTTTTTGGTTGGGTTTTTTTTTGGCAGAATTAGTCTTCTGGATACTTTCTAAAATTTTGCTCATCATCAAGGCACAGGCATCCTAATTAAAGACAAGAGAAAGGCAACTTACTAAATACTGTTTGTGTTCTGGTTCCATTTTCAATTGATAAAATACATATGGAGAAAAGGTCAAATGCTATCCTTGTGCAGCATTTCACTTGAATCCAGAAAGGCTCAGACATGAGGCCGAAAAACCATTTAAAATCACAAAGGATGCAGTCTGTTAATAAAAAGGACTGTGATTTAACTTCGCTTCAGTAGATTGGCTTGGGTATTGTACTAGGAGAAGGGAAAAACTGAACCAAATAACAAAATGTTCATAAACTAGCAGAAAAAACAACCATTGAGGATTGTGTAATATAAATACCGTTTTGATAGAAGCCTTCTGCTCTCTACATTTCTTTTGTCTGGCGTGCAAAGTCAGAAGTGCATCTCAAATCAGATCATAGGAGAGCTGCAATGAATTACTGAAGAACTGGCCCTGTGAAATTTTTTTACCTTGTCAGAATCAATATAAGAAGCTTAAAAGATTCTTGATATCAATATACAGAAGAAAATACATATTCTTAAATCTTCTCATTATTTTACTTTGAAATGCTGCAGTATCAAATCCTGTCTATTTTTTATTTCAAAGCCCAGTCAGAGGCAGGATGAGCACTTCTGCAAAAGGGACTCCGTTCTCACTGTTAAGTAAGACACTCGTTCCCCACTAGCAAAAAAGGAAGAAAAAAACGTTACTGAAAATCAAATCCCAAGCTTTCCTCAAACATAACTGGACAAAAAATCCTCTTTTTCACTTTACTTTCCTCACAGTTATCACTTGCCACACAATCAATTATGGCAGATACAACTGAACTTCTAAAGTAACATATAAGCAGAGAAAAAAAAAAAAAACAAACCCAAAAGGTCTTAGAAAAATCCTCCAGTCCTTTAGAAAAGTCTCAGATTTCAAGTCTCTGCTCTGGGGAGAGACATTTCATACGTTGGCTTTACCAGTTGCAGTTGGTAATTTCTCTCTTAAGAAACTCAAAATTGATAAAAATCAAGATTTGAAAAACAGCTGGTTATAAGCATCCACTAATCAAGTAGGATTAAACTTACCACCCAAAACAGCAACATTTTTAACCACTCTCTACCACACGACTCAGTTGCTGGGTGGCTGGGAGAAGGTGGCTTTTTCTCTGATAAAATTGATGGCAGATTAGTTTTCTTGAACAGTGTGCAATGTACTTTAATGAGACGACTCTTCGTACATTTACGCAAGACAAGCAGGGCTAAGGGAATATATTACGCAAAGCAGCACAATACTAAATTCAACAGAGTTTGCATGACAACAATTTTTACATGGCTAATGCTGTAACTGACAGCCGTTTGAAATCCTTAATAACATGTGAAGCATGTCAACTCTCTAACCTATCAGAAAGAGAAATTAAGCAGTCTATTCAATTAAAAAAAGTAATCATTATTTAGGGACTATATATAAAGAAACAGATGTTACATACATATAAAAGATTTCATATTTTACCACAAGGAAGTAAACTGTCACTTTTTCAGTATTTTCATCTTCCGAGAATGGTGTCTTCGGTCAGTTGGGAAAGCAGGGAACATTTTATTTTTTTGCATTGCCTTGTGATATAGCCTGACTGAATTTTTCAGCACAGAAAAAGGAAAAAAAATTGAAGAAAAGTGTAATTTTCCACTCACCCTGCTCTGTGATTTGAGAGTGAAGATTCTGTCATCTGGTTCCAGCAGTTTACAAGCATAGGCAATGTTGACAGCTGTCTCTCTCTTGTCACCTGTCAACATCCATATTTTTATTCCTGCTTTCCTTAATGCCTGTATTGTGTCGGGAACACCCTCCTGCAAGCGATCTTCAATGCCAGTGGCACCTTAATTTAGACAAGAAGAAGGATTAGTGCTGCTGTTTTCCAAAACAAAAACACTGCAAGAGTGACAGGACAAGATGGACTTCTGTGTGTATCTACATCCCAAAACAGACACCCTACTGGGACACGCTTGGGAATCCCTTCTTTCCATATCTTTATGTCCCAGAGCCCACTACACACAAGATTGTTCGCACATACCCTCGTTACAGCCTCAGGGGCCTCCAACTCTTCACAAGACCTTTTTAAGCCAACTTTTCTCAGTCTCACAGTTGTTTCATCCCATAGTGGCTGTGGAACACAGACTCCCAGACTTCTCATGACAAATATACTATATTATTCCCAATCTCTCCTACCTCAAACTACCCCAAACCTTCTTTCATGTGTCACCTCTATCCTTCCAATCTCACGGCCTACTTCTCTTCCTTATTCTCAACTCGGCTCCAGGCTGAATTCTCTGTACCTCTTGTCCCAAGCCCTCACCTTTCCCACACCAAAATCCCCTCTTCTTGTATCATATTTTTGCACACTGCTGCAAAGACCTGCCATTCATCATTAGGCTTCTCAACTACTCATCGCTGCAATGCCTCCTGTCTCAGGTTCTTTCAATTCATAGCACTGAACTCTCTGTTTTGCCCGTCTTCCCGCCTGCATTGTCAACCTTGACACATTCCCCCACAGGGAGGAAACACCTGCTCTAGCACACACTCCTTAGTGGTTATAGAAAGATTTTCAATTAAAAAAATACAGAGACTTTAACAGGGATATCCTTTTTTTCTGGTGTGCACAGCAGGCAGACCTGTGTCCCTAAAACCAGCTTAAAAAAATCTTCTGTTCTGGTAACAATGAGGTAACACATCAGCATAAAGCAGAACCAGCTTTGAAAAGCTGCAGTGCCAGTGATTTACTAGGGTACAGGCCATTTTCATGGCTTTTTAACAATACAAATGGTATTAAATCATAAATAGGAGACATGGTTTGGCTTGTGGGATTCTCAGGCTGAGAGCTTCTCAGAAAGAAACTTCAGTCAGTTGCAGCTAGGTTCATTCTGAAAGACAAACAATAAAAATATTCAAAGCAAAGTTTTCCCTCCTAGCATGTTTCTAGCACGGGACTCTAGCCAGCAATTTGTACATAAAGCACTGACTGTCATATGGGGATGGATAAGAACCAAAAGGCCAGGCAAATTTCTGATGCTATAGCAATTTCTTCAGTAAGGAGCTGCCAAAAGGACCCACAGCTCATGGCCCCTGGTCACTGGGAAGACGAAAACCTCCAGGTCCGTGCTCTGCACTCTGCCTGCATTTTGACACAAGTCAACAAGAGAGGAGGAAGGAAAATGTTGGGATGTATTTGATACAAGCTTCTTTTGAGAGACACTGCCAGGCATCAAGGGACGAGAGAAAAACGTTGTTTCAACTTGGGCAGTCTATACACTTAACATTCCCCTTCTGAGGTACCTGATTCACTTTGTAATTCAACAGAAGCCAGTTTCAATATATATATACTGCTGAGATCCAGATCTGTGCTTAGTTAAGTACTGGACTATATAACTATTAGGACTATTCCTTCCAGAAATAGATTTCCATTCAGATAAAGGCCTGAGGCTTTATATACAACCATACAGATTTCAAACTGCCCACGCAGTGGACTACAAACCACTGCTGTCCTCCACGACCCTGGCAATACTGAAACGATTCAAATTTTTGCTTGTTGTTCTTTGAGGACAAAGTCTTCATTTCTCAGTCCTAAGAGGACAGAGTTACAGCTGCAGCTACACCAGGTGATGTTTATTAAGAAAGGAAAGGAAAGCTCAGAGAAGCAGAATGAGAAGTGCTGTAAGTAGTTTTACTTTGCAGATCACAATGTACATCCATCCCAGGCAGGGCTAACTAGGCTAGCAGACATACTGAAAGCAAGTGCCCGGGCAGTATGAAGCTATTTACCTTTCTTATTCTTACTCCCATTTAATGTTAGGGCCAATCCCTATTGCTTACTGTCCCACCAGTGATATGAGACAAAAAAATGCCTTGGCCTGCAGGACAGCAGGTCTCCACAGCAACTAGACTTCCCTCTGCTGATTCTACTGCAGAAAGATACCTGTATAGAACACCATCATCCCTTAAAACTACAGCGGCCAGCAGCACTGCTCTGGCTTGTCTCCAGAAACTGAAGCCAGCAATCCCAGAATTCCTTTTAGTATCAAGGTTTACAGCATTTTCACTGCGCAGATGTGGCACAAAATGAGGGAAGTAACACCTTTCCAAACAATAGGATCTGTCTCTCTTCAGCTTCCAGCATGAGCGTCTTTACCACCACAGTTGGATCTTTACACTTTGTTTTCCAAATGTTATTTGCTGGGCAGTCCTCTAGAGCTATTATCCCAGACTGCCTGCAGTTTACCTTTTACACATCTACACCAAATGTTTTTCATTTTGTTTTGGCCTCCCCATTTCTGCACAGCTGAATGAACACCAGAGGAATGGTTCCTGCAGAAGCATGCCTGACTTCTCATCTCCATGTTATTACAGGAGGACACAGCACAAGCATACCCGCTGTGCCAATACGCAACAGTGATGGAAAACACGTCCAGAAGTGGGATCCCAGTGAATGTTTGCTCAGGCCAGCCTGTGATTTGTTGTTATCATTCCATGTCCTTATTATTATGACATTTAAAAACTGTAGCAAAGCACAAAAAAGAAAGCCAACTTGAAAAAAAAAGAAAAAAAAAATCAGTAAAACTAACCTTTACAAACAACAGAAGAGCACAAACTGTCTTCAGCATGTTTTACAACTAGTACAAACTTACAAGAAAGACCTATGAAAATTCAGGACTGACAATAAATTCTAGATCTGTAGAAAGCTGTGTTACACAAATTGATGTCAGCACAGCTCTCTGCAGTTAAATTCCAAGTATTAACATCATAAGCAGTTTCCTGGGAGTTAAAGCATTTTCTACCTACCAAGCAAAGTTAGTCTGGTCTCAAGCCTGATGGCAGATTCAAGCAGCAGCTCCTCCCTATTGTCAATACTGGTTTCTGCTAAAAAATGATGATTTAACCATTCTGCATATTCTGCATCACTCATCACCTACAGAGGGAGAGAAAACATACGGCATATATCTAGACTGTATTTTCAAAGGTGCCTCAAAAGTGTCCTCACAGTTACTTCTGCTGTCCACATACTGAACGTAGAAGCACAGCTCCTGGCAGTGCATTACTTACGTGCCCCAACATGTCCATGGATTTAATACGATGTTCACAGTGTTAGGTTACTTTGCCAGGCTTCACAAGCCAGGCTACTCACCAGCACCCTGCAGGTTCCTGGAGCTGCCTGACAGATTTCCATTTAGATGGAAGATGGGCAGTCCAATGAACACAGTATACTCTCCATACCGCTCCTTAATTGCAGCATTGACACAGCCATAGGATCACTGCACAGCTGTGTACAGCTTGATGACTGTACAGCTACACAGCCTGTACTTTCACTTTGCATAAGGCTTTGCAAAGAGGTTTCTTGCCTGTTTCAATCCCTATGGAATTTTACTTCTGAGCAGCTTTGAATTTCAAATGGAATCTGAAAACATCACTTAAGTTTTGCATCTAGAGCTTGTAACACTGCAAACTGTGAAAGCAAATAAAACAGGTCTGACTTCATTTGTTTTCTGTGTCTAGAATTCCAACCGGGGTTTCATACAGGAGATCTGCTCAGGACTCTGGAAGAAAAATCAGGCTGTTTGACAAACCCCATTTTAGAATTAGGCTATTAAGCTGCTTAGCATCCTAAACTGACAATAAATATGGCAATGTAACAGAAGTCAGGAATTGATCTGAGTCAATTTACAAATTCCTTCTGAAAGAACATAAGGGTAAACTAAATGTGGCAATGGAAGCATCTGTTTAGAAGCAGTGATGTCTGCTCCATTGGTGATACTGCCCAGGTTGGCCACAGGCTGTAAACATTCTTAAATGTATTAAAAGGAATACCTTCTTCGCAATACACAGAGTGCGCAGTCCTCTTCTGGCATAGTCATCCAAATGCTTCTGAGTTCTCTCTTTAATCTTCTTTTGTTCCGTCTCTGAATTACTAGTACCTGCTATCACACAGAAAGCAAAGAAAGCAAATTAAATATGCATTCTTAGGCTAAATTTAGCAGAAAATCTTGAAGGTCTAAACAAATTTTTAAAATACCAAAATGTTATAACAGGTTTTATTTCAACTATGAATGTATCTTCACGTTTGCACAATGTACTGTGGCCGTACCTATAATGAGCACTCAGTGTGCCAGTCTCCACAAGCAGTGAAGGGGAACCCATCTGGTACTGATACATCTTTTCATGCCACTAGTATATCAAATGTTTTTCTAAAATAAAATTAGTTTCTAAAATGAACTGGGCCACAGACATCCAAGCAGCTTTACTGTCACTGGTCTAGTGGGAGGGAGCTAAAAGGGCAGTTGCAGAAAAGCTTTTTTTAAAAACAGCTGCTAAGGGGTGGACTATTCAGACAGGCATTCAACTCACCTCACTTTGGACACGTAGAAGTTAGGTTCTGAGTCTACCTTGAGAATCAAAGTAAGGAGAGGCACCTCCAGACATGAAATTGCCCCCCAAGTAAGATGACAGATTTTGGAGGTACTGTTTCTGCTCCATGGCCTAAAGAGACTTTTTGTCTAGACTTTAGATGACTAATATCGGGTGAGTTAAAATCCACTCTTGGAGTTGGAAATATCCCTCTTCCTCACTGAGATCAGCCAACCGTGGAACATACAAACTAAACTCCCTTTTGCAGAAAGCAAGTCTTTAAAATAATTCCTTTATATTACCTTCCAAACCATTAAAAAACCCACTTGGAACATCTTACGAACTTACATATTTAGGTATTTATTTCTAACGTACACAGATAATAGTTTATTGCCTTCAGTTAAAAATCAATGACTGTTCAAGAGAGTAAGAAAAAAATCAGTTACTGCTTAAACAACACGGTGCATCCCTCTCCTGTGGCAGATTCAAAAATATGTTTACCCCTGAACAAGAGGGTCCAGCAGGAGGCACCACACAACTTTACAGATATTATTAATACAACTAGAAACACAGAAATAGTCAGAAGTCAAGGGAAAAAAACTCAAAAAACACTGCTAAGTGACATCTGCTATTAATGCCTCTCTCCAACAGCTCAGGAACACTAACATAGGTAAAGGCTAGAAAAATGTCTCATTCCAATAACACCTCTCGCTGTGTAGCAGAAGGCAACTATTCAAGCAGATGACCTTACTTCATAACTGGAAATACTTCAGTTGGCCCCAAAAGGTCTGCTTAGACACCACTAAATCCTTTCAATAACAGCTGCTTCTCTCTTCTCAGCTTCCACACCAGCACAGCCACATCTCGGTGACAAGCAATACTTCCTTTCTGAGTTCTCTGTAAGGAACTATTCACAGATAATAGTTCTGCTTGCTTACTTGTCTCTTCTCATGAATGAGGCCATCTGTTCAACTGTACTGAAGAATGACAAAGGTGAACAAAGATTTAGAGGTTCTATACATACCTTCGGATGCAGTTCTCAACAAATCCATCATGACTGAGTCTGCGCCTTTTGTGTACACCACCACTTTGTTGGAGACTGGATGCCGAACCACCACTGACATCCTTTTCCGCACTGAATCAAAAGGCAGGATATGCAAAAGCTGAAACGTTAAAGATCCCAGACCTGCGAAGTCCACGGTGACTTGATCCGGAGTCCTAGACTGTAAAATACATTTATAAGCCCTAGCAGCATGAACCAGCGCAGCTTCATCTGGACTCTCAGCTTCATAACACAGTTTAGGTAAGGGAGACAATCCAACAGATGATGCAGCACTGTTGTGTTCACAGCCAGCAGGTACATTCACCATATCTAGTTCTTGAGGCACTTGGGATTTTTCTGGGCTGTCAGTGTTGCAAGGCTCAGCAGCCCTTTGAGCAGCTCCATCCAAAGCAGATGAAGCCAGTTTCATTCTGAAAATAGACAGTTTGCTCACAAAACTACTGGGGCTATCACACGATGACTCTTTTACACTTGGAAGTGGGGAGGAACTTAGTCTCCGAACTGACAACCTCTGGAACATCTGCCTGATTTCCTCAAGCGATTTAATAGGCATCCTACCCAGTGAAGAGAGTCTCATCTGGAACAGAACAGTTAGAAAAAGCATTTATGTTAAATTCTTCATATATTCTTATGACTTTACAAACTATGTATGTTTCTTCATGAATGTAGCATTTTAAAATTCACCATGAGTTTGATTGCTTGTATTAGAGAGGGCCAGCTCAATTAAACATATAACCATATGAGTACACTAAACAGCTTCTGTAAGAGCTTCATTATTCAAAACAAAAGAATTGTAAAAATACTTCAGGTCTGAAAACTGTATGCATTCCAAGTTTGATTCACGACTCCATGTAATACTTCTCTTTAGAACTATTTCAGTAATGAAAAAGTATGACATTATAACTTTAAAAAGTTGTGGCAAATGGAACTAAACACTTTAATTCTGTTTCTGAATTAGCAAGATATTTGCAAAGAATAAATCAACTCCATACCCCTCACAGTAACTAGCTACAAGTACTGTTACAAATACAGTATCTTATCAATACTTTTTAAATGTCTGAATTTAAACCAGAGGACAATTCCCCTCTCATCAACATTAGAAAATAATTAGCTTAGTGTTACGCAGAACACTTAGACAGCTAATAGCTTACAAACAAGGAACAAGGCATGCAAGGCTGACATTCATTTCTCATTACTGGTGAAGAGTTAAGAATGAGTTATCACCAGGAGGCATGTTCTCCTTTGCCACTGAAAAGAATAAAGTAAGGACAGACTCTGGCTTCAGTTCTACCACAACTGCACACAAGTTGTAGTGTGTCTCCACTCAGCATTGTGGAAATAGAGACAAGGAACATCTTTTCATCACCTCTCCCTAAGGCAACATTGAAACCTTCTGTTGCCTTGAGCTCTCTCATGTCATTCCCTAATCATTAACACAGAAACCTCTATGCCACATTGCCCTTCCTAACCTACCCACTAGTGATCTGGAGATCATCTTCCCCGCTAGCAAGTCATCCAGAAGTATTTTTCTCAAAAAAACAAGAAGCTTGCCAGTATATTTTTCTAAATCACCCTTAAGGAATGGCTGATTAGTTACTACGAACACAGATGCCTCATCCACACATGGACCTGCAGGCTGCCTACTGCGCTTTTATGGGAATGCCTGGAAGCACACTAAAATACCTGGTTTTTTATACATAGGAGGTACTTTACACTCCACAGAATACCTTCTGGGAATGTCTCCAGCCATGGTTGTAGGTTTACTGCCTAGATGGACACCAGAATCTAGTCCTGCACATCATAAACATTTTTTAAAAAGACAAAGTCAATGAATGAAAATCACCAGGGGATGGGGGGAAGGAAATCAAAGCTGAATTTGAGAATTATCCTGCAACACAGTCAAAATTGGTAAAAGATGGGGTTACAAAAATCCCACCCTGAAAACAAAAAAAATTGAAAGAGATAGTAGTATCTTTAAAAAAACGCTAGGTTGTGCACTCTGAAAACAAATGGTCTCAGGAAGGTTTAAACACACTCCAGACCATTAAACCAGGACAATCTAGTAAATGCACTGTACATTCAAGATGAGAGCACTTTATGTCATACTGCAAAGCATTTTTTCTTCAGAGTATTACACACATGAAACTTGATCTTCTCGCTGAAACTCTTTGAATAGTCATGGCACAGGTAAAGAGCATTCTCAGTTCCAATATTTTCTGTGAGTCTTCTGAGATTATTCTTATCTTTGAGCCAGCAATAACCTATTTGTAAAGGTAACCTGAGTGTTAAAGTACTCTTAAAGGAAGCTATGAATGTATGCGGAAAAACATAACTAGAATAATAGGAAAAAAATCACAATTGGAATTTAATCTCAAAATTTGTCTATACATAGAAGCAAAGTTTTTGAAGCAAAGTTTTTCTGCATCAGAAAAACATTACCAGCGTTGTATTATACATTAACACATTGCGTTCTGTTGGTTTACAATAATTCCCTTCTTTCTAAGAGGACAAACCAATAAAGGAGAAAAGGATCATTTTTCAAATATTGGTTAATTGTTTTTTCCTTTTGTAATCAAACCAAAGGGAGCTCATTTATTTACGAATATGGCCAAATAGCCAAAAATAAGGCCTTTTTACCTTCTGACGTGGCTGATTGGGGACTGAAACTACAACTGTATTACAGATTGCCAGAGCAAGGAAGAAGTCAGTGATGTACATTGCCTCCGAAGATAACTCGCTGCTAGCTTCTTCTGATTGTTGATAGGAATGAGAAGAAATTTGACTGAACTTCTCCAGCAGTTGTGTGTCTGGTACAACATCCGTTTCCTATTGATGAAATAAACAAAACTGTCCATTAGGATACAAACTTAATCTCAGTCTCTGGAGGTTAAATCAGTTACAGACGAACAAAGTGTAGAAGCTCATACAACTTCCTTCCTGTCAGATGCTGAGTTTGTTATACTAGGAAACAGAGGAACACTCTGGTGTCTTCACTGCTTTGTGCTAGCCCATTGAAAATGGTAAACTTCATGCCCAGACAGACAAACAGCAGAGTCTTAGTTCATAGACACTTCAACAGAGATTAAGTATAATGAATGCTATTTAGACACCTTCAGGTACAGAAGCAGAGTTTTTACCTCTTGTAACCTCCATAAATATTGGTCATCTAGATATTTCCTATTAAAAAACAAAAGAAAATGCCAGAAGCCTCTTAAAACAAAAGAACAAACTGTTATTAAGATGCAGCTCGTCATTTTAGCTGGAGTGATCATGAACTCACAGCAGCAAGAATCAAAGCATACACCTTCGTGACCCAACAACCATCTGCAATGTCAGCTGCAAATAGGATGCAGCCAAGCAATCATGGGAGGCTCTGGTCTTGATGGAAGAAAGGATCCAACCATCTGCAATGTCAGCTGCAAATAGGATAGCCAAGCAATCATGGGAGGCTCTAGTCTTGATGGAAGAAAGAAAGGATTTCTTAAATGACAAGCACTCTGATCAAATGGGGGTAAAAAGATATTCCTTCATCAGTTACTTCAGAAATTTAGCATCAAAACCAATAGCTTTTACTTACAATGGGGCTGCTGAAAGCAACATGTCCTGCGTGGAGAACATCACCTGCTCCATCTTCCCTTCCTAATACAGGGTAACTACCAGACAATGGATTCAAAGACTTTCTGTTCAAAGGTTCATTCACAGCTCTGCAGTTGTGTCTCCACCATTTTGACACATGGCTTGAAGAGTAACACTGACGGTCAGCTGAATCCTCATCCTCTGAATCCATCTCTTGATAGGATTCCAACCTCTTTGCTATGGAAAGGGAAACAAAATTATTGTTCCATTAGCAAAAAGAAACTTGTCTAAAACACTGCCTGGAGGCTCAAGAAACAAAAACGTAAGGATTTAGTACACAGTTAAGAATAATCCACCATTTATGAAAAACAAAACCCATAACAAGCCATCACACTGACTTCCTGTTTGGGACACTGCACTTCAAGAGCAACACTCCACTGAAGTGAATCCAGAAGAGAGAGCAAAAATAATCAGGGTTCTAGACAACATGAGCCACATGGAAACAGTAAAATAAGCTGGAGTTTAGTCTCCAGAAGGGCACATTGATGGAAGTCAATTAATAGTCTTCAAGTGCATGAAGCGCAATTGCATAGAGAAAGGAAATAGCCTGTTTTCTATGCACACTGTGGGTAATAACAGACACAGTGGTCCTGCATTGCAGCAAGACAGACCCAGGCTAGGTATCAGCAAAACTTTGTCAGAGAAGACATGACATACTAGAACAGAATGCCTGAGAAAGCAGTGAATTGGACATCACTAGATGTCCTGAAGAAACAAAAAAAAAATATTCATAAAGAATGATAGCCACAACTCTGCCTTAGGCCGGAGAAATGAGACCAGATTACCTCCTAATATGCTTTCTAGCCTAATTATTTTATGACGGATCAGGATTGCATGCCAGTGGTTTGACAAGTACAGCTTCTAGCAGGAACTCATTGAAACTATGTTTATTTTTTCTGTATTGGACACCCCCTCACACAAACATACATATTTTCTGAGTATTTAACTGAAAAGCTTCTCAATAATAAATAATAAGGTTGGAATAATAAAACTTTCTATTGACACATCTAATGCCTTTGCATCAAAGACATAAATGCAGTTCTGTGCCCCACAAATCTAGCTAGGAAGATCAGTGGTGTAAAGAACCTCTGTAGCAAATGGAAACACACCTATGCTGTCACTTGCTTGTTAAGAACATTCCCAAGTGTGGAGTTCTGGGACACTGTTTGACCACATGCAAGAGGTTGCAATCTCAATCCAGACAGCACTGGATCACTATACGCTATTCAGCTTTCAAGTTTTTACCTGTCACTGTGAAAAGAGCATACAATGAGCATATGCTAGCAGTTCAATGTCTTCATCCACCGACAACACGGAAAAACTGTTCTGAGAGCTGTGCGTTACCTACTTATTTCATTAAAGTGTGAATACAAACAATGGCCTCCTAGCAAAAAACCAATGTTAACATATAGACATCTCCTGCAACACCATTAATTCCTTATTTTTTTCTTATTTAAAGTGGCAGCTACTGTACAGGAAAGAAGTGAAAAGTGGGATATTATTCTATTTTATGCAAACAGGAAACCTACCCACAGTTCAGAGTCCCCAGCTCTGGTGCTCAAAATGAGACGGAAATAGATTTATTATGTCACTTGTGAGACATTTTCCTCCTAGCCAAAGTGCAGGAGCTGAGCTATGTTCAGGAAATGAGCTACTGGATTTGCTAGCCTGTTAAGTTCTCCTTATTTCCTCTTGTCTTCTCTTTCTGGAACATAAATGAAAGTCTCCTGTCCTTCATCCTGCCATTCTGATGAGTACAAGAAAAGCAGGGAGACCAGAGCTTACACCTTCCTTGGCAGGCCAACTCCCTGATGTCAACATGAATTTAATAAAATAGCTCTTTAAAAAAAAAAGATAGGTGGCAACAAAACAAACTGTAGCTCTCCACAACTACCAAATATAATACCCCACATGTGGTTTTGATACCTTTTGCCAGAAAGCAGCAACAGTGACTTAGTATGTGTTCGTAGAGGCAGGTTTGGACAACACATGCCCACTCCGCTATGCTTCCAGGCTGTTAAGAACCCTGCATGCTCTGTCTGACGTAAGGTATGCGGCACCTCCTATAACAGCACACGGCTCTGCTGCCATGGTCGAAGAGCCACAAGTTACTTTACACAGAACACTGCATGGGGGCACCTATATGGAGGATTATACTGAATCCCTGTCACTGCTGTTGTGTGCTTCCCTCACGTGCATCCCCTTATCCTGAGCAATACAGATATAAATGCAGAAATACATGTACAGACTAAGCGGCCTGTATGCAAAAGACTGAACTGTCTCACACTGCAACTCTTACTGTATGTAGCAGGAGCCTTGCAAACAGCAGCTCTACGCAACTGAACAAACGCACACCAGGACTAAAACACAAGACCTCCAACATTTTTCAAACTGGTTTTCAGGGTTCACATAATTTCTAGATTTGTTAAGAAGAAGCACCTGCTTAGTCTTCAGGTGAAAGACAGGGCATAGCAGGAAAACATAGAACCACAGAATCATAGAATGGTTTGGGTTGGAAGGGACCTCAAAGATCATCTAGTTCCAACCCCCTGCCACACTAATATTTTTGGAAGATGACTCTAAGTGAACTACTAGCAGAAGTATGTGGTAGATACACTTTCCCTGGCACAGTGAGACCCGGATCAGCCACAGCTACATCATTTGCACTACTCTCTGGTTTATCTCCTCTGAAATACTTTTTCTTCCTTTAGGAAATGGTCTTAAAATATATTCTACTTTTTATTTAAGTTGTTCGTTCATCAAGTTTGAAACTTAAAAATATTTCTTCTCACTTTTCTGTTGTCATCCTTCCCAGTATAATTTTGCAAAGCCAAAGAAGCACCTGGACACCCACACCATAAAATTTTCAAAATATGTGCAGAAATTACTGTAAAAATGGTTTGTAACCATCTGCTCCTGTGAAACAACAAAAGAAGCGCTGGACCAATTCATTGCTGTGGCCAGCAGGGTGTGCCTTTTGCTCGCAGTTGTGAGCTGTTCTATCTGGCAGCAAATCCATCAAAACCACAAAGAGGGGGTTTAATACACAGCTGTGCTTCATGTGTGCACCTGTCAGCACCTCACCTCTGACCTCATATGGAATACTTGCCTTGTTCCCCAGCAAAATAGCAAATGTCTGCAGTCACTAGTACTTACATGCAGCAACGACAATAAAA